TGGTTTTGCCGTGTGCCAATCAGCATGTATTTGGTCTTTCCCGGGTTAATAAGCAATTCATTTTCGGAACAACTGTTTGCAATCAAATACAAGTCTTCCTCAAGTTGTTGCTTTAAACAGTCCACGTTAGCCACAGTGAAAGATAGTAATATCTTGGAGTCGTCCACGTACGATTCAAGTTTACTATGGTGGACTGATGAGGGAAAATCGTTAGTATAAATACTAAAAAGTAAAGGTGATAAAATTGCACCCTGTGGTACACCATAAGAAACAGGGAGAGGAGTAGACACAGTTGATCCAATTCTGACTGATTGAGTTCTTCCGGTCAAGTAACTCTCAAACCATTTTACAACGCTTGGAGAAGCCCTGACGTTGCTAAGTTTTGTAAGGAGAAAAGTATGATTTACACTGTCGAAAGCTTTAGATAGATCTATTAGAATCAGTGCAGTAACCAATTTCCCATCCATGGCCTTTAGGATAGTATCTCCGGTCAAAAGATTCAATGTTTCGCATGAGTGATGTCTCTTGTTCCCGCTCTGGTGGGTTGACAATTTTTTGTTCTTCATTAGATACGAACCAAATTGATTCAAGGCGACTTTTTCACAAATTTTCGAAAGAAAGGTAAGGAGAGAAAGTGGGCGGTTATTTGATGCTTCCTCGTGGTTTCCATCCTTTAACAAAGGGATAACTTCTGCCTCTTTCCATGCTATAGGTAACGAAGATGACGACAGTGAGCAATTAATGATATCGGTGAGGGGCCCAAGAATTACCGGTAGGCTGTGTTTGATGACACGCATACTCACTTTGTCTTTGCCGGGTGATTTGTTTGACGGCATAGCTAATATGATGTTCCTTATTTCTGAACAAGAGACTGGGGTGAAACTAAATCTATCATTTTCTTCAGGGTAGCTGTTATCTGTGCGATTTACGTCAGAAAGATTCCGAGCTGGATAAACACTAGATCTTGTATTAGTGTTGAGGCTTTCTTTGCTGCATTCACACCGATGGTGGAAAAGAAATGATTAAACTCTTCGGCCACTAATTTCGGTTCCTTACTGTAGACCACTGACTCTCTTTCCCTATACGCTATATTTTCTTTAATTACCTTCCAAAGTGACCCAGTATTGTTTCTGTGTTGCTGAACTTCCTTCAGTACATATTCTTTCTGTGCATTAACAAGTGCGGTTTTTGTAAAATTGCAGGCCTCTCTGAAATTAAGCCAATCATAATGATCACGTGTTTTCCTGAAAAGACTGTGGAGCTGGTCTCTTTTGATCATGGATGCTTTTATTTCCGGGGTGATAAATGGGCAAGATTTTCCGCGTACTTTTATGGTCTTTACTGGGGCGTGTTTATCCAATGTATTTAAAAATATTTCATTAAAAATGGTTAGTTTTTCATCTACATTGTCCATTCTGAAAATGGAAACAAGACGATCACGGTTGGATGCCAGATCGATCGCGAACAAATCAGGGTCGTATTTATTGTAGCTGCGGGTAGTGATATAGTTTGGTGGAGATTTGTCGGTTTTAAGTTTTAGTGATACATACACAGGGAAATGATCGCTGATGCAGGTTTCTATGACGCCGCTGTTGACTACTAGTCTTGGCGAGGATACGAAAATAACGTCGACGAGGGTCTGACTGGATTCAGTAATTCTTGTTGGTGATTTTATTAACTGGTTAAGGTTAAGTTCTTTTGTCGTCTTGATCAAAGACGCTGATCCAGGTGTGGGCTTAAGCATATCGCAGTTTAGGTCTCCAAGAAGAATTATCAACTTTCCCATCGTCAGAGCATGAACATAATTAGGTTTAAAATATTTTTCGAAGCAGTCAAGCGGGCTGTCTGGGGGTCGATAAGAGACACAGACCAACAGTGATTTAGATTTTTTGTGCTGTAATTTGATCCATAATTGATGGAAATTCGTCTCGGAGATATAACTGAGGTCTTTAAGTACAAGAGATTTAATATCTTTTCGTATGTAAGCACATACCCCGCCCCCTTTCTTGTGCAGTCGGTCTAAACGATGTAGCTTATAACCTTCGATTTCTATTTCCTTGTTTGTGACGGAGGTATTTAACCATGTCTCTGATACTATAAGGACGTCAATTTTGTTAAATTTGATAAACTTACGTAATTCTAAAAAATGGGCGTTATTTTTCAGAGAGCGGATGTTTAGGTGGACCAATTTGAGACCTGGAAGGGTACTGAGGCTGTTATCTGACTTTTTTGTTAAATGGGCTGAGGCCGTATCATTAGTGGTTTTCGACGTGAATGACCACGAGAGTGCGGAAGCGTTTGGAGAGGCAGGGTTGGACAAAGGAACACGAACAAAATTTCTATTTTGCAAGTTATTGTTAACACTAGAAGAATTATTAATGGTTTGTTGATATGATAGTCTCTGACGTGATGGTCTCTGACGTGAAGTGATTCTAACAGGTATTTTCATCATATTGTCTGCTGCTGACTCGTCAAACAGGCCACTGTGTGGAGATGGGCCAACCACTCTAGAGAGTGGTGGCGGTGGGCTGTCCGATACGAAGGAATGACACGACAACGTTTTAAAAAAGGATACCGACTACAATGGTGCCTTCGAAACCCTAAGGGGTTTGTAACTTGACCGTGTCTAAGACTTGAGGGTCTCGGGGTTGGAAGATGAGGGAACGAAGAATGCTTTAGATTTGACTCGCTGATTGACCTATCCGATCGGGGATTCACCTGGTCAGGGTTAAGGGCATCAAGGCCCTCTTTTGCCGACCTCAGTTTTGACGGTTTTGACTTTTCGAGGCTGCAAAATGGATGCCGACAAAGGAAAAAGGTCGCTTCGCGCGGAAAAATTCGCAAGTGGAAAACCGACTTAATAGAGGGTAATAAAGCGCATTTAAACATGCACATTTACTGTAGATGGCCCTGAAGGGGTAAAATTGGAACAGGGATTGATCTATTTTTAGACTGGGAAAATGGGATTTGGGTTGCTGGGACTGGGATTTGGCCACTGGGAATGGGAAATGAAGTCCTCGAAAATGGGAATGAAGTAATGTGAGTCGACTCCCAATTCTGATCCGTTTTTGGTGTCTTTAGTCATGATTTTTGTTGTTAACTATATTATTCACAGCACTACCTGCGAACAAGCATACTCGAGCGCCCGGAATTCTGGGTTTTCTGATTATGCGTGTCTCAGAATGATGCAAATGCCATTTCCGGGATTCAAATTTAACAATTTTCCGTGCCTTTGGCACCGCCCCCCCCCCCGCAAATATTTCATAAAGTGCCCGCCACTTGCACTCACGGTGGCTTAAAAGGTCTTAAAACTGTTTATTGTACCGATAAATAAAGGGTTTTTTATTGACTGGGATTTCAACTGACACGGACTGGGATTTCTAATAAAAATCCAACTGGGACTGGAATTTTGCCAAAATTTCAGGTGGAAAATGGGATTGGGACCCCCCTCCCCTTTAGAACCCTCACTATAGACTAATGACTCGGCAAAATTACCAAACAACAGTCAGCAAAAGATCACTCACACACCCCCACTCGAAGAGGGTCAGCGCCGCCCCTGCAAATATGTCCTTCGTAATTGACAAAACTGTCACTGACAAACCGCCTAAAAAAACGGTCGTTTCGCAGTTTACTGGGAACAATAGTACTCTTGAGAATGTACTTATACGTTACGTCTAACCTTTGGTAATTGATTCACAAAGCACTCGATACATTCCTATTGTATCATATTTAACTATTATATGTATTTCTTTGTATACTTTAAATGTTAGAGGACTAATGATAAGGTCTAGCCTATCCGTTCTATGTATTTTCTTGCTTGTTTCGCTTATTTTGAATGAGTAATTGCCCGTGTTTTTACTTTGGATAATAAAATTGAAATTGTTCGCCATTTTTTAGTTTTTGCGCACGCGCAGACGTTTTACCGCGGGGGTTTGACATCCAGAAAAGACATTCATGCAAAGGAATTTTCCAACTTGCCGCGTTCCAAATTTGACCGACCCAAAAAAAACGGGTAAGCAACGCTGATCTATATATAATATGTACACGCTTTGTTGAACCTGAAACGACATGCACATGTCAATCAAACCTGATGTGGCACAGGTCAATCGAAGCGTCGCATTTAGTTATTTCATATTTTTAAATAGACGTCAAGCTAGCGAGACTATAGAACATAGATATCTTATATACACTAGATAGTGCATCTAATTATTCTGAAATTCAAAACTTGAAGCCGTGATTGCAGTCTCAGGTCGTTCCCATGAAATTAGAAGATTCGTATGTTTTCTATTTCTTAAACAGGGAACTTAAACATTAAGTTAACCCTATTCCAAATACGTTTTTAAAATATTGAAATGATGAAAATTATTGTTGTTTTTAAGCGTTTACTAGCAAGTGGGAACGACCAACATGGCCGCCATCTATTCAAATGGGGGTAACCGCTGGAATATTGTTGGCTTCAATTTTACTAAAAGAGATGCGCTGTCTAGTGTATATAAGATATCTATGCTATAGAAATGGCACAAATTCTACGCCCTGTTATTAATAGCTACATTCTCTCTACGGGTTTGGCGTGGAATGCAAACAAAAATGCTGCAAGCGAGAAAAGTCGACCACTCGGAGCAAGTCTACACAGCAACTTGTTGCAGGTGTACCAAAAATTGCAGGCGCATTTCTTAAAACGAACAAGCTTTCGTTGGTAGGGATGCACCAACCTGAAAATATATAAGGAGAATTTCGACGTTTCGAGTGAAGGCCCTTCGCCTGTAGCGTATCGCATAACTTGCCATTTGGTTTTAATGGGAATTGTGGTCAGTCTATTTTTATTTTAGTTTATCTATACTGTAATTACATATTTTATTAAAAGTTCACGGCAAAAACAATATATTCTGGAATGAATTTAAATTTTATTTCAACATTTTATACAAGTTTATTTTTAATTGAAGAAAGGAAATTACGACTTTAACAGTTAAAATCAATTTATGTATTAATTATGTAAGATTGTATCTTTAGAATTTTCCTTATATTAAGGGTGAAGACCTACCTAAAATGATCATATTTTGTGATTGGCTTTCATAAACAAATCAGAAGCAAAACTGATCATTGTTCGTGACTCGTTCTTTAGAAAGACGATTTCTATAGTTTTATTGTCTTTCATTGTTATAATCAACCAACCACAAGCCTGGAAAGTATAGGTAGATGATGACCATATTTTAAACATTAACATTCATGCAATAGATACATTATGTATTACTCACGTACTCTCATTATCTTTACTATAAAAATGGGCTAATTATCAAATTGTTACTATAATAAATAAACAATCGTCTTTTAAGACGAAAATTGAGAATCGCTTCCATTGTATGATATACGCCAAAACGACTGAACCCTATATGGCTATGGCCGCCACTTTACGATAAATCACTATATAAAAGATCTAAATGTTTATTATATACTGCTAATTAATTTAATTAAAGTTTAAGAGAAAGATTTTATGGATACGTTTTGAACACCACAATCTGTATTTTATACATTCATAATCTAAAAAAGTAATATTTAATGTATTAGTGGAGAAACTATTTCGTTTATTTGACATATAAGGTTTATTAAACGCATATAATGCGTGCTGAATAAGCGTTACATACTTTGGGATCAATCATCTTTGTCACTTTGAGAAACAATGAAGAAAAAATTTCAAACAATTTTCTCATCCAGTGACGGAAATTCACTTTTTCCGGTGGGGGGGGGGACAAAGCCTCCTAAATTTCCGACAAAACTTTCAAATTTCCGACGTACCCCCTCCCCCATTTGCACTCGAAAAGACTGTTTTTAGCCCTCTTTTAGGTCAAAATTTCCGAAAATTCGTCAATTTTCTGCCAAAACCAAGATTTCCGCCACTGTTCTCATCAAAAGTCACAAGTTCAAAAGTCTTTATTATTAAGTCAAACCAGTGAATATACCATATATCAAGCGGCGAATTTTCAACTCAATAGTTTTCGCTATAAAGCTATATTGAGATCGATTTAATTAATATTCAGCATGTATAATCTACGCATGCTTATAGTTAACATAAGATATATAGGTCATCTGATTAGGCCGCAATTTTCGTTTGTGTACATCTTTCATCACTCTGTCTTTATGCATTGCCTCATTCAAAGCTAAATATCACATTATTATATGATTGGCCAATAACTTACCGCTACACATAGAAATCACGCTGTTCACGCATGCACCCACACATCACACAGTTAAAACTATAACTAGCAGATAACTGATTTACGCATGTGTAGGCTGGACCAGTGATTTGTAATTTTATAACAAGGGCAGTTTTAAATACACGAATAAAAACATGGAAAACAACATGAATTAAGAACGGTATCAGTTTTGGTGAATTTTTTTGTGCAAAGAGCGAAGAGCATTGAGCAAAGCTTATTTACTGGATGTTTATAGGCTAGTATAGGTATTAAGTGAGATTTCTAATATTTTACGTGCTTTAATTTATTGAAAAAAAAACGTTGTTTTGTGCAACAAATATTGCATGTTTGTCGAAAGAGTAAATGAAAATGCGATGCATAATAAAACAGTTCTTGAATTCGGTTTTTGTAATATTCTCAATTATCGAGGTCTTGGTGATAAGTCACGCCTTTGGCTCGACTGATTGTATACTTTCTTCTACCTGGATAACACAAAACCTCATCCAATAACTGTTTATTAAAAGACAAAGAGCATGAAATTAATTTTAAACACCACATAATCTAAAATGGGCAATTTGACTATTTGAGTACGAAGCTGAGGATCTAAGGGACGGGTCATTATTTATGGTGGGGGGTGGCACCGAAGAGAAATGTTTTTCGTGGCAAACATTTTGCTGACCCAACCATTAAAAAATCAAAAATTTGATTACCCAACCTCAAGTATCATTTAAAAAATAAATACCCACCCCTGGCCAAAAACGTTACAAAGGGATGTCATTCAGTTGTCACACATGTCCTTTACCACTTCTGTGATACGAGTTTGATAACGTTCGGCTTGTGAAATTTACTGACTTTTCTGCAGTCTAAAGTTTCATGTTGTTTGCATATTTACTTTCTTTGGAGACACCAATGGTCTCCCAACAAATCGGAAAATGATCAAGATAGTGACTCTGATTGATTCACACCTTTTACTTACTCAAAATTTTGTTTACCCAACCCTTTTCTCTTCGGTACCACCCCCGCCAAAAATAATGACCGCTCCCTAATGGGCAATCACGTGCAGCTTGTGCCGAGTAAACAACATTATAAATAAATTTTTATAATAGAGTAGAGCCTCAATAAAATGTCATTGTAAATGGTAATCTGAAGTACCTCGCTCGAAAATGCTTGGACTAAAGAGTGCGACGAGGGTGAAAATGCGGCGCTTAATCGAGGGAGGTCTAATCAAACCAAACGGCATCAACGTTTTGCCCAAAATTATATTTCTACCGGTGAACTTTGGACTTAGTTACCTGCACTATGTCGTGGAAGTAGCAGGATGAACGTCACCATAGCCCAATTTCCGACCAACTGCCATTCGAATCTGAAGAAAACATGATAAAAAACATTGATAATTGATAATAATAAATATTGAAATGACGTGGTTGATGTGCCGTTTAATTAAATTTCAAATGACGCGAGCCAACAGATCACACACTTTTGTATATATAAGTCAGATATTATTAACACTGATGAAGATCCGGGCTTACGGATCGAAAGCTTTGCAGTAATAAATTTACGTGCTGTTTCCACAAACAAAACTATTAAAAAAAACATTGTTTGAATAAACATTAAATAGTACATTTTGCGACAAAGTTAATAATAATAATAATAATAACACTTTATTTTTTGAAGATAACCAGATAATGTTACAACTTTTTTCCAATCTGGTCCTCCTAAACTTTCTATTTTCAGTACTGCCTATAGGAGTATGAACAAACGAAAGCTAAGTGCATATCTTTATGTATCACAGCAATGGTGAAGGTATCAGTGTGTTTATGCGATCTTGAATTTCTTGTTCAAAAAAAATAACAAGATCGTAAAAATACACTAATATCATGGGAACCAGACAAAGTACTGAAATATCACTAACTCAAACTGACTTGACCTCGTAGCTCAGTTGGTACAGCATGGGACTGGCAAACCAAAGGTCGCGGGTTCGATTCCCACCGCGGTCAAGCAAACTTTTCAGCTCGTCCCGGCCCCCGTGTGGACTCAGAGACAACATCGCAAACATATATTTTCATCTGAGTGCGCAAAACCAAAAAATTAAAGTTGTAAATTCATCTTGTGTTATTCAAATGGCGAGTAAATCATTTTTCGATGCACGCAAGCGACTATGATTTTGATTCTGCATAATATTTCATGTATATTGTTCTAAAATAAGTCATAATGTGGAGTTTTTCAACTGTTTCAAATCGTGCGGGTAGTTTTTCCTAAATTGCGTTAAAAACTGTGCTATTACCTATTTAATAATATACATAAAGATATTACTCGACTGTGATTGGTTGATTTCAGTGCAGTTAATCCCGAACAGCAGTGCAATTTTTTGTAATCACATTGCAATTTTCTGTAATCACAGTGCAAAAATCTGTAACAAACTGATCTGATTGGTGGAAAAACATTGTGATTATTAAATCAACCAATCAGTTTAAAGCAATTTAGTTTAAAGAAGTAACGGTCACGATTGCTTCAAAACAAAACAAACATGGCGCCGCGCTACATAAAATAAAAGTTGCCTTCGCGTGGAAAATATGGCTTTTATCTTTATTTTTAAATGGAAAAGCATTTACCTTACACAAGACTAACAAAAATTACATAGTTGAGTGGAATTTTCAAGCTGTTAGCGTTGTATAATGTGATATAACAAAGCCAAGAAAACTTTGCATGTGGAATGTTCGCTATAAACGCGTAAGTTAAAACTACAGTTCTCTCGAACATTTTTATGTAAATTATTAATAAGTAACAGTATGGCTTCTCGTGAAATTTGGATAAACATGCACTCGTGAGTTTTTCAAAGACCTCAACCTATACGTATAAAATAAACCAACGCACCTCTGTGTTACAAACTCCATAAATAAGAAAGATCAGGAATCCCTGAGAAACAATAAAAATAATTTCACCCTAAATATAAATACAACATGCACTTTATCCCAGCAACGGAAAACAAAATACCGTGTAAATTTGGATGAAATTTATCAATGCTACAATCTTGGATAAAACCCTTGAGACCATTCCAGCCAATATTACAAAGTTATTGAACATTGACAAAACAAACTTTGTCTCCCCCTCCCCCCAGTTCAATGTTGTGAACAACGCCGAAACAACTTTCGGTTATATACCATGATACAAGCTCAACATTGAGTTGGGGGAGCGGGGGTTTAAGAATGGCAACATGATTCAACATGGAGTTTATCATAAAAATACGCGAATTTTCTATAGGGGGAAAATAGTCTCAACTAGTTATGTCCAAGATTGTAGCAATACTAATGGCTAATATTAGCTGTCGTGGCCGTCAGAAAACCAAAAGTAAAAAATTTTGTTGCACATACGGTATACACACGTGCACTTGGCAAATAAAACTTGCCATCCTGAGTACACAACACAAACACACACAAAAAGTATATATATAAAGACTTGTCATAGAAAACTTGCTCGTCTGTAACCGGCTTATTTAACAATTAAAACACTTAATGTCTGTCCCCGAGGGAAATAGTTAGTTTTGTTTCCCCTCGAATTTCAATGTTTCCCTCGACTTCGTCGGGAACTAAATATTGATGCCATTGATTTAATTTGAAGCCAAAATATTTTTAGTCAGACGACATTTTTATAAATCTGTCAAATTTCATACAAATCGAATAGTTACGTGTTGACCTATGAAACAAGCTCGTTTTCTATGCGAAAAATATATTACTAACGTGACATGCACATTGTTCCAATGATTTTCGAACATTTTAAACAGGGGCGAAACTGGTTGGGGCGGGGGGGGGAGTTTGTTTTGCCCGACAAACAGGCGTGGCCGAAGTCGTGCCCGACGGACGAAAGTCGAAACAGAAAGTCGAGTTATAAGGGGAACTACTTCATGTTGTGCGGTTGTACCGTTTCCAGTAGCGTTTTGAAGTTTTCATGTTCACCCAGAGATGCTCACCTTTAACCATTCATGAATATAACGGATATAATAAAGGTATAGCGGGCATATTTTTCGTAAGTGTTTTTCTCTCTCAATCTATCAGCCACTTTGCCCACTTTTCATTAAATACAAATTAGATCTATCACATTAGTCCTATATACCATGCAATCACTAGAATCTAAGTCACTTCTGCAGCTGATTTTTTTCAAGTTCCACTTTTGTCCTATATAAAAGCTAATAATGTGTAATTATTCATCTCGAATTATTTGCTGAATAGAATGATGGTATAAATCGTAGTACTGTTTTGATCTCTTGTTTCAATTGGAAATAAAAATTAAAACAAATAACTCTTGTAATTTCCATTTATACATATCGAGAAGTCATAGCACATCCAGCTTACGAAATCCCTATCATTGATTTCAATTATGAGCGTTGATATGATCGCAAAGGATGTGCATGGTACATGTACCATACATGCACTGATCCGAATACTAGCAGGTATATTATACAGGATCAAATTGTTATTTTCCCCCTTACCTGCAAAGAAGTAAAAATTGCGAAGAGATATTTCCAGACCAGGGCATCATGGTTAACAGCGATGACACTGAATCCCCAGGAGAAGCCAAGGATAGGAAATAAAATAACAACTCCACGAGCGGCAGAACTAGAGGAGACATCATGAAAATATATATACCTTAATTTTAAAACCATATATTTTTGTTTTAGCTTGTTAGATTTAATTTCAAAATTCATTAATAATCAATGAACAAAACACAATGTGAAAGAACCCCAGCTATATATAGCGCCTTGTTTATCAACGTAATTTTGACGTTTTATATACGCTGATAATAAACGCTTTCTCGTTTATTGTATAGAGGGTGTATAAAAGAAACAAGATCCTTAGAAATGAAGCTATTATTGTCAAGCTCAAGCTTTTATATATGCTCCTGGGACTTTGAATCTATTGAATGCTCCTGTGAATTCTAATCGTATGAATTAAGGAGCATATAATTGTCAAATTACTAAATTAGTCATAATATTATCATCAGTTCGAATAAAAAGTGTCCTCCTGACCACAAAGCATTTTAAGAAATTACAATTTTAATGTCAAAATTTCACAATATATCAGAAGAAGTAAAACCTACATTATCTTTTTCTTGGCATCTGCTTGTTCCGAGTTTGAAACAATAAACAAAACACGAATCACAGCAATGACTGTAACAAGAGATATCTATCGACAATTATAGTAAAAAAATGAATTAATGATCCGTTTGAAAACCTGCTCGCATTTCCATTTCAATAAAGACATCCAAATGCTTACCGCTATTATGATGAGTACTGGTGCAAAGAATACCCATAGAAATCCATCTTTGTATGATAGCCAGCACCTGACCAGAAAATTATGTTAATTATAGGTATACAACGCGACAAGCCTCAAAATGCTAATATACCCATTTTATATATGACGTTGATTCACAGACTGAACAGCAATGTTACAATGTAAAACAAGAAAAGTACTAGGCTTATTAATATTCACTGGAAAAACTTTGAAAATCCATAGAAGGTCATAGAATGGAAATTGTATAGACCTTTATTGGAAATAAAATGGATGTTGTATAATAGAATGTATCCATAATCATTGTATATTTCCATAGTATGGATATAGTATGGAAATAATATGGATATACTATGGATTTAGTGGTATAATTGCAAATTTCGTAGTATGGATTTCACTTTTTTTTTGTAAAACTATTTTAATAATGAAATTATATACACTGTTATGTGAAACAAATGAAGTTAAAATTGCAGGTATACCATTGATCGGTTCCATAAGCATTAATCTTCACACTAGCAGATAAACCAACAAACAGCACAGGAAATCCTGGGTTTTTTTTCAAAAACATTAATTATTAGAAAATACATGTAGTAAGACATGTCTACTCGATTACAAGCGTAAACGACTGTCATTGTGGTGTATGGAAATTATTGCGGATGTCACAATTTCTTTTCATTGTTACGTTATTCATTACGCCTATTTATTCGATTACATTCGCCAGGATAAGAATCGTACACGACTAATTCGTATTGTGTAGACAGACGTTTGATATTATGGGTGAGGAATTGCAAGATATAATAATCATTAAATTAGAATTAGAAATGGTCGATGGGAAATGCATATAGCAATATGAAAAGGACTTTTTAGTAGTAAGGCAAGAAGGCGTTGGAGGCAATTTTTCCTATTGATGTGTTTAAAGGCACAGTTCAGTCTTTCGAGTGATGGGTTTTTAAGGCGCATTATAATCCTTTTAATTGAAGAAAACAAACTAGGAAAATCAACTCAGCATAATCCAAGATCAGTGATCTCAATGTTTTTAGGTTGCAATGCGCTTTGAAAACCATCATCCAAAGAGCATTGAATAGAATTTATAGACCTTTGTACCTTTTTAAATTTCATGGAAATTTACTTATTCATAATTTATACTTTTATCTTTATTGATATGAAACATACCCCAACCAAATAACAGGAAGTTTTTCATCCTCACAAACTCGCCACGATAGACCGAAATAAGTTTTAAATAGAGCATTGCAGATTCAAGGAGAATCCATGTAAAACCAGCCAAAAAAAAATAATGCAACAAGATTGCCACGACTTTGCAAGCTACCTGCAAGAAAAGTGCTATAAAGTTACTGCAGCAAGTGTACGTATGAGTATATACTATCCGAAATCAAGTTAAGAAAAGAATTATATAAAAGCCACGACCTTTTGGTTTATTTAACATATTTCAATACTGCAACAGCATTGGCATGCGAAGTATATATGCTTTACATAGAAATACTTCTTTTTTGAACACAATTTTACGAAATTTCTTTCTATTTATGATTGCTTTTTTTCATATAGTGAGTAATTAATATGCAAACATTAATTAAACAGCCATATTAAATTGATCTATTGTCAAGCCAAATAATATTAATTAAAATAACTAAGTTGTCAGTAATTCCTATTTAATTTCCAAAAAGCCAGCCATGCACAAAAACATAATTGTTATGCTATGATCGCAGTCAAGAAGTCAGGATTGACATGGATCATAATTTTAATCGAATAACATCAGAGTAAAATAACAACGCTGTTTATGTGGTGAGTGAGACGAAGTGAACAGCGTCGTTACAATTAAATACCTAAATATACTACATGTTACAGTGATATAATAGCAAGCAAGCAAGCAAGCCAGAGCCAGAGCCAGAGCCGGAGCCGGAGCCGGACAAAACAAAACAGAACAAAACAAAACAAAACAAAACAAAACAAAACAAAACAAAACAAAACAAAACGAAACGAAACAAATAATAGTTTTGTTTGTGGAAACACCATGTAAATTTATTACTGCAGTAATAAATTTACGTGGTGTTTCCACAAACAAAACTAATTATATATTTTATCGCCATGCAAACATACAAAGAACTTAAAACAAAACAAAACAAACAAAGGTAAACATATAACTTCACAGCGAAGGTAATTGAATCCAATAACATGACTAGGGACAAACGTACATTTAATTTTGCGATGGTCCATTTTGTAATGCAACTTAGCTGGCAAAGATAAAGAACACATCGGCATTGCCATTGCATTGCAAGGGTAAAATGAAAGATTTAATTATGATTTAACAGCGAGCTTTACATAACTATATATCGATATTATAACATATATCCATAAATTACCTCGTCTTTCCTTGCCCTTCCTCCCGCGAGAAAAACAATCTGTGTCAATCCTAAAGCAATCTGCAAATTGAGATGTACCAAGTGACGACTGGTCGTTAAAATCTGAAGATCTTTGCTGAAATTTACAAAAATGCATAAGGTAAAGAATTCGACATACTATCCGTGCTAGTGGAGAACCATCAGATTGCAGAATATACCTCATATCCAGCCTTGTGTATAAAATAATTATATTTATTATATGTAGGAGAACTCATATACAGGCTGAATAAAAAATAACTGAACAAATATGAATTTGCTCTCGATTTCGAAAAACAGCTATTAGTATCCAGTTTTTTATGTACAGTATATAGCTTCAATGGGTACTTATAATGTAGAATAATGAAAAAAAATTGTCGAACTCAAATTTTGTGAACCAGGGGGGGGGGGTGGTGTCATTTCCAACAAACTAAAAATGGCTTTCGCACAAAATCTAAAAGCTTTAATCATATTTTGAGTTAATAGATGGAAAATGTGTTGGGTTTTTAATTACTGTACAAAATTTCAGAGAATTTGCTTTAGTTTAAGCCTTTAACTGTTCACGCAAACTTACATGTTTTCCTAAAAATCAGCTATTTGCATGCTTAATTAATGCCTTTGCCTAATTTGCATCTGTCGGCAATATGCAAATTAGGTAAAGGCATTAATTAAGCATGTGAAAGGCTGACTTTTTAGGAAAAAATGAATAGCAAAAGGGCTTAAACTAAAGCAAAGTGTCAGAAATTTTGTACAGTATAATTAAAAACCCAACAAATTTTCCATCTATTAACTCAAAATATGATTAAAGCTTTTAACCCACCCCCCTGGTTCACAAAATTTGAGTTCGGGAAATTTTTTTCATTATTCCGGCTACATTATAAGTATACCCAAAGAAGCTACATACATCAAAAACTGGATACTAATAGCTGTTATGCGAAATTGAGAGCAATTTCAAATCTGTTCAGTTTTTTTTTATACACCCTGTATATTTAGTATATACGCATGCATTTTTATCGCTGCCTGTTATAGCTATATTACATGTACATCTTTTTCAGAAAATATTATAAGATGTTTCCTTAAAGACGTTGTTGTGTTTGTTGTTTCTCTTTCAGTCTAGATACTAAGATTGAAATGAAGTCAATCCGATCTATGATTGAAAAACTGATCTATAAGATTGAAAATTGTAATCTAATAGATCGAATATTTCAATATTTTAACGATTGATTTTCAATCCGCGACGTTTGGTCATGCAAACCAAAGATTGAAAAAAGATATGCAGCGATCTTGAAACATAAAAAATAAAATAAGGAAGTCCTGAAGCACGTAAAATAACATATTTATTACGAATCTGAAGTGTAAAGGGAACATGAAATGTAGTCAATGTAAGCACAACCATATACTTAGAGGTCTTAAAGGTGAATATAAACAGTCCGTGCTGGGCTGTGTGTTCACCTATTTGTTTACAATTGCGTCGATGTTCATGTTTTATAAAATTTGAAACCTGCGTTTCCCAATCAAAACATAGCTAAAATCCAGATCGAAACAAAATTAATGGAATATATTGTCCAGAAACGAGAAATAACCGTCTTAAATACTGCCGAAAACGGAGAGCGGATATTGAATACACCGCAAGCACGATACACGGCATCGATGTCGGGATCGAAAAACGTTTAATAAAAAGATGACTGAAAGAAGAACGAATAATTAAATTACCCCAATACGGAGCACGAAAATACCCCATTACCCCCCTCTTTAAATGATACGCCAAAGAGAAAATGATGTCTGAAGTTCAGTACGTTTTGTTTATTTGACTGTAAATATGACGTCAATTTTAAAGCACAATTGATAATTGTACTTTAATTGGCAATTTTTAACTATTATTTTATGTTTCTCAACCGGCAGATGCATTTAAAAAGGTAGCTAACTCTATAAACTGGAGAATAAAGCTAGAACAAAGTAATTTTGAGAGGAACGCCAAAAAGATTTTAGGTTTTGAACACTTTTAATATTGCAAATACGTGACATTGAAAAAAATTGCCTTTTAATCATTAGTGAGTTTAGCAACCGGGAACAACAATGGCGTAAAACAAAATGAACGGTCTGTGCCAAAGAAGGTAGTGCCAATAATAACAATTTTTTTTGGTGAGGATTCAATTATACACTGTAAATCTGGGAGTGTTACCACAACACCGAAATCGGTGTAAATTATTGCAGCTGTGTGGACACCGATTTAGTGTTTACTTACACACTCATTTTGGTGTTAATTTAGCCCATACCTTTTCTGCAGTGTTAAATAGATGCAGCTGTGCGACCACCGAATTGGTGAAAATCTACACTTAGTCTACGAGCGTAAGATAACACAAATAAAACAAAAGTTATTCCGAATAAGGAATGCATAATATTAACACACAATTTATTAAAACTTTATATAGTTCGAATCTAAATCAGATTCATCTTCAGCAGTGTTTTGCAAGATATCTTGCAAAGCACTGCTGAAGATGAATCTGATTTAGATTCGAACTATATACAGTTTTAATAAATTGTGTGTTAATATTATGCATTCCTTATTCGGAATAACGTTTGTTTTATTTTTGCTGAAATTATCAGCCGGAAAAGGATTAAAATCCATCTGATTGGTTTATCGGATTGTCACGTGATTGCCGACGAAGGACCTTCGCTCGAAACATCGAATTTCGCTCTGTATTTTTCAAGTATAGTTGCATTCCTGACTACCAACGCCGGAAAGCTTGTTATTACTAAACTTTATGTGCCTCTTGAAAGTATCTTTCTTTGAAACAACCCTTAAAGCTAGTTTACACTATCAAAGTTTATGTTATCATAGAAGGTAAATTCTAAGTTTTGTACGTAAATTCTATGTTTTTGAAGGATTTGCAAGAAATATTTGGCAGACCTGACCCTGAGTCAAACAGTAACGCCGGTTTTTCATTTGGCGGAATTTTGCGCGCGGAGCTGAATTTTTCTTTGTCTTTTCTAATTTATAGTTCCACCCATAGAGATTACAAATAACACTAGAGGAGGCATCGAGGATTCGAGGTTAAAAATTGGAAACGCAGCTAATGGGGGGGGGGGGGTAAATTCAAGTCCCGGATATAAAAGCATGCTCTCATTGGCTGATTTGAAACCCGTCACCAATGGGAACACAAATACACATCCGCGGGACTTGAATTCCCCCCCCCCCCAATAGCTGCGTTCCCTTTTTAACTGTATTAAGATTATAATGCCTCCTCTAGTGTTATTTATAATCTCTATGGTTCCACCCGAGAAATCACAAGACAAAGAAAAACTCCGTTCCACGCGCAAAATTCCGCCCAACGAAAACCGGCTCAAGACAGTATGTTGAAGTTATCGCAGCCGAGAACATGTGAATATTATAAGGCTGAAAGTCATCGATTATGGGCTTCAATTGATTAAAAATCGATTTTGGCACAACTATTATTGTTATTATTGATTGTAAACTATTCCCCAAACTGCAGATTTATTGTAAATAAATGCCATTGTTTTTTTATATACCGGCCTGTGGAAAGCTATAACTGCATGTAGTGTTTTGTAGAGTGAAACTTTAAACTTATTGCTTGTAGGCATGCATGCGACATCACAAAAAAATATTACAATAATACTTACTATAGAACGATGTATACAATACATGAGAAAAACAGACCAGCCAGTGAGAGTGCAGATCCAATGTAATAAATAACGTCCAAAGCAACTCTATTGGAGTCGCTCACCTACATACAAAAAATTGGACCAAATTGTATCGTTATATTTTTGTACAAAATACAACAAAAAATAGAAATATTTAAAGAGCGATAAAAACAATTATAAAAATTGTGAGAGAACTGCAAATTTATTATACATGCTCTTTCTGAATCTACCTCTGTATCTTGAAGAACAACCATGGTAAAGCTCGATAAATGATATGCCAAACATTTAATAATTTTTCCGCCAATCGAACCAATTTCCATTCCTTCGTCGTTCCATTTAACGCCTTCCAAAAACAAGCAATTTACCTGAAACATGGAAAAGAAAAAATAAAGCCATATAACGACGTACAAAACAATAGGCCGTCGTGTGTCAGTTGAGATAAAGGGATAATGGAAATGTAATTTATTTACCGTATTATTTGAATTAACTTTTAAATCATATTACTTTAGGCTATTAGCTGTCAAACGAAATATTTTCTGTATCATTATAAAGGAAAATGATCAAATACGAATCGAATAAATATTACCGGTCGAAAGCGCATTTTTGCACCATTGAGTACAAACCTATTGAAAATATATTCCAATTGGATCTAAATTTGGATCAAGAATTTAAATTTAAATTTGTTTTAAACTTATTGTTTGGCAAGACAATTTGTGATGATTACTTTTTCTTTTTTCTAAATATGAGCATTCATGCTTTGAATAGGGATGACGTTTATTTTCCACCAAGGCCGAAACTTAGGTATTACGGCTGGGGGCGGGGAGGGGGGGAGGGTGAGCTTGTTTTGCCCGACTAATGAGGAGTGCCCGACGGACATTTCAGTCGCCAAAAAAATTTCAAAAAAAATTTTTCTGGACGAATACGTCTAATTGCTTTTGTTGCATTTTTCCCAAATTTTTCCATACAAAATTTCGGTAATTTGACCAAAAACACTAATTTTTCAGTAATATTTTCGTAAATTTCTCAAAATTTGTCATACAACTATTACTTTTCGATAAATTATGTAAAATGTTTTGCTCAGTTACATATTTTTTGCCCGACAAGCGTGTCGTTGAAATTGTTAAACTTGCCCGACGAAACTACAATGGCAGACGACGTCATCCCATAGGTATAAAAGAGGTTGAAGTTAGGGTGTTGTAGATGGAAATAATCCAGTGGAAATTTATATACATTTATTAGACCTAACCTGGAACAACTGCAAAAAATGCAACATTTGGTCCCTGGCAGGAATCGAACTTCCAGCCATGCGATTCTGGTGGAACGTTCTAACCAATTGAGCTACAGAGGCCAATAAATGTACATAAATTTCCACTCGATAATTTCCATCTGCGATACCCTTCAACAGTAGATAAGAAGCCACGTTGCGACTTCTGATGATCACCCCTGATGAACACACTAGATTCGAGTGTCGAAATGTTGGATCGTGCATGCAATAGACCCAACCTCGTTCCCAGGGCTTCAGTGTGAGGACGAGGGGAGAGACGAGGAAGCCCTGGTCTGGGCCGGTCAATTTTGCATTCTGATTGGCTAACACCATATTGTCTAAAAATAAGTGAACTTGACAGTTGACAATAACAATTCAACATTTGTATTTTTATGATTCTTGTGTGTACGAGTATGTTTTGCCACGTTTAATAGAACTGGAGGTTTTGCAAAATAATCTTTCAAAGTAAGACGTTTTCAACAGGTGGGCAATTTGTCGACGCTGACCAAAAATAGCGGCTCATTTCTTCTCCAGTTGCCATTTTCGCGTCGAAGAGCAAAAATATAGACTTTCAGAGACTATTTTAGCTCTTTCCTATCAAATATGTTTGTGAAACAGTTGATAATCTTACTGAGGAAGGCCAACGGTTTCTGAAAAGCTAAAGTACGTCGAAATCCAGCTTTGGAATAGACTATATTTTCACCGGGGAAACATGAACTAAAATGGATATTTACATCAACACTAGATTTTGCTCGTGCCAAAAGAGCTAGTTGGATTAAAACAGATGTTAAGAAGTAAGTGAAAATGTGAATTTTGTGAATTATACTTTCACTAAAATGTTTCAGAAGGGCTGGTAATGCCAAACTACAATTGTAACAGAGCTGTCAGTATACCCATATTTCAATGTTTATGTTGAAATGACCTAATAACTTCTTTGAGATATAGCTTAAAAATTAGGGTATGCTCATCACTTGAAACTAGCTTTAAATCAATGTTTTATCTATAGTCTTTTTATTAGAATTAAAATCATTCATGGGAAAAATGTGCCAAAGGGTTGAAATTGCCCTTGTAAATATGCACTATTTTTGACATGTTTGGGTTAGTATTTTGAAAAGGTGTTCTGGAAGGAAAATATGTTTTGAACAATACCGGTTGACCCTTAAATTATAACTAATGTCATGTAAATCACAGAAAATTAAAAAAAATCTGGTCCATACACAATATTTTGGATTCTATAAGGTCCCGAATGGGGCTTATTTCAATGCTGAATCTGTTTACTTGGAATAACTTAGAAAATTGAATAAGTCGAGAATTTGACTATGCTCATCATCCAAAACCAGGTTTATCTAATTGCTTTTTCACCTGGGTTTGTGGCAATACCAGTTATGCGACCATGAAAAATGCGCGCGGCACTTTTTTTGGACACTGAATATGGTGACATTTGATGTTGTCATATATTGCCATCCTCTTATCGTAGCATAACTTAACTTATTTTAGTGAGTTTGAAAAAGAGTTGTGTTCACTATGTGCTTGTAGTATCTAAGATTTTTTCATAGCATTATATGATAAATTTAAGTTCTGTTTTCTTTTATTTTTAGGTGATAGTATCTGTTCATTCCAGTGTTGGTATCAAATTTTGGTCAAGTTTCAATTATTATTTCACATTCCTTTATTCAAATATCCAAGTTAATGGAATATGACATCAAGCTGGAGAACTAGATCCTGTTTCCAAACTTGTTTTTGTAAAAATAGAAAATAACAACTTATTCTATGTTGTACTAATAAAAACTATTGTTTTTTATATGCATATTTAATTTTTAAAATTACATTTCATTCTTTGTTAAAATGTGTACCAGGAATACTGAAATCTTTCAGATCAGCTAACAATACTTTTATAACTTATATAGCCAAGTGTTCTATCTATTGTTCAGATTAGACAACTGATGGGTAAGATATTAGATTAGAATTTTTCCAAAAACTGAGGAGCTTGCCTGTTTTCAAAGCATAAAAAGCAATAAAATAAAGCAAAAGTACTTATTTTTAATTTAAAATCTTTGGACTGTACAGCTTAACGTTTTCCACTAAATATTACAAAGTTTTTGTTCATTAAAATGTTGTTTTATCAGCTTTAAAACCAGATAAACCCACGAAGGCCGAAGCACTCCTATAAAATATATGTCGCCATATTGATTTTCTTCGCGCATGCTCAGACAAATTGCCCACCTGTTGACGTTTTCCCGACTGCATGATTTACTTTCGCCTCGGCCGGTTACAAAACTCAAAAAGCAAAAAAAGTGTCCCAATTCAAGAGCATGCGCTTTAGAAACTACTGCAAGTTTTCTTGCACTTCCGGTTCCGTGTGTCCCAGGGCCTAGGGAGGACGCACGCGGCCGAGAGGCCCTGGGGACGAGGATGAGTAAGTACGTAAACAACTAAAGATCCGTCACTGTTTACAAAATCTGTTGCTCAGTTCATTTTGGATTCTTCTCACTTGACCCACTATAGAACACTAGAGTAGGCCTACTATAGTTTAGTTGGAATCACCAGTCACGGTAACTCAGAGTCACTGCTTGTCATTCCGCCCAGGAGAAGGTCTTCACGACCAATGTCTTCGGAGCTGTCCGACAACTCCCACTGAGCAGAAGTAACTAGTTGGATTTCTTGACCGGTTCTGTGGCAACTTCCTCGATAAATCAGCTTCCATATCCTCTTCATTTTCCTCACTCTCCGATTCCTGTTCGCCCACATGTACAGCTCCAACGTCTTTCAACCAATCTCAAAGGAATTCTTCCCTCTTGTCCTTTTTGATGCGTTTTCTCTTGCAGCATATTGCTTTCGGTCCCCTTGGGTCTTCCTCCGTGATTTGTCACTATTCCAGAGGTCCACAGCAAGCTCACAAAAGCGCTCACAGAAAACGTGCAGGGTTGGATCTGTCACTTTATTGCGCATTAAATCATTCAAGTTGCGTTCGTTCAACCTGTTGCGCCAGCCAGATTTGACGACACGCAAGTACGAGATGAACGACTCGCAGACTGCATGCATTGCCGTACGGGCAGCAGAGACACAGTTCGACTAGTGCCCACAGTTCCCGTGCTTCCTCCAGCTTTATCTTCCAAAGCATTAGCCACAGATCCATGGAGTCGATAACAGCTTCGTTATAGTATGCGGTTGCCGATCCCTATGCTCTGAAATTAAAAATCGCCGGCAAGGTCCTAAAACTGCTGGCGATAGCCGGCAGCCGGCGGCTATTTTAAACCCCCTGAAGGTGCAAAATAATCTCAGTATACGGACGTATCTTACTTGATTTGGCATTAATTTTACTGGAACTGGTTAAAAATTAAGTAAAGATTGCTTAAACATTGCCTAAACATTGCTTAAAAATAGTTATAACTTCCAATTCCTGTGAATAACGCACGAATTTCGAAGTGTAGTTCCGGTAAGAAGGGCAACCTGTTGCCCCCGTGCTGCCCCTGGACTGTAGAGACCTTTAGATTGACGTTTACGGCAAACGGCAAACCGCTAGCGAGGTTTTTGATTTTACAACTCTATTATAATAACTTTTACACCAGTTTTGAAATATGTTAAACTTATTAAACTTGTGCTCTTTAGCAATGAATTAAGAAAGCCAATTGACCACTAGTCATGCCATTCACCAAAGCAGTAAATTAAGATTTGGCGTTTTAAGTTGACGTTTGGCGTATAAATTTCATGCTTTAACGACTACAAGCCCTTGTAGCAGTTCAGTAGCGTATTGCATTGTAGTAATATTTTAATTTACAATATTCTGTACTAACAAAAAAAGCAAGACAAACAATTAAATGAAACTACTAAATTAATTTAGGCCCTGTTTTATACTTAATAGCTATACGCCTAGGCCGATGTAGTCTCTACAAGATTCGTCACGCCACCGAGTTTTACAGTTTCAGAATACCCCGAATACTATACGATAAAATAAAACAAAGATTGTGAAGGGGATAAAATTTGTAGGCAAGCATTGCTCCTGAACGGCAAGTGTTGGTGTCCGGCGAAACAAGCGACTCCATATATTCCTGTACAGCGTAAACAGGTTACGCGAGGTTTTATATTTGTTATAGGTTTTATATT